CGACGCGCCTGCGTTGCCGTTTGGATCTCGAACTGGCCCCTCCACGTCTGGATCAATCTCCGCGGGCCGCGTGTTTGACCACCCCCATCAAAATTTCTCCGAATAGATGGCGCGAGTGTACCTTTGAGATTCAAAGTCGCCCCCCCGCCGCCGGCTGCGCCGGCGCTGCCCGCGACGTTCCTTGCGAGGACCCATCCGCGGACCTGCCCGGCGAACGTAGACCTGGCTGGCTCCCTGACGAACACCGCCTCGCCCCTGACCGCTCGCTTCGCGCCGCGACGTCGCGCGCCTCCCCGCCCCCCCCCGCGAGCGCTGCCCCATTCCTTGCGATGTGGCACGCGCTGCGCAGCTATCGCCCCCCGCCGCGCGCCCGCGCAGAAAATGCGACCCACTTCTACGCTGCGCGCGACGTGCCTCCACGACGCAATTCAAACCCCCAGCCTCTCACCCCGCCATCTCCCCGCCTATCTCTGGCCCCGACCCCCCGAGGCTGCGTCGCGCGCGGTCGGGCCCATGGCCGGCCCCGGCACGAGCCCCGCGGCGTCGATCCCATTGCAAGAATCATCGACGGGCCTCTACTAACGCGCGCCTGGATATCAGACAGATCTCTGCCGCGCAACCCCGCAAGCCCCCTATCTTCATTCGCCCCCCCCCGATGGCGCCCGAGTCGCCGCGGCTCAACGGCCGCTCCGCTTTCTTTCCGCTGGCGCCAATCGCGTCTCCGCATCGGGCAATTTGTGGCCGATCCGCCTTGCCACCCTACTTCCGAATCGAATTCGACGACTACTCGCCAGAGGTTCACGCTGTCCGCCCGCTTGTCGCGCGCTGCTTCGGCTCCGAGCCCGCGGTTTAACATGGCGGTCTTCGATCGCTGCACAGCCTGTCCAGCCCGTCAGCTCATCGCCCGACATGCTCATGGAGACCTGGCCAGGACCCACATGTCTCCAGTCTCTGGTGAATTCCTGGATCTCTCCCCGCGGCCCATGTCGGCGCGCGCTGCCCCGCTGCTGTTTCGCTTGTCAGGGGCAGGGTGGATGGGGGGGCGATGCCGACCTCATTTCAAAGCGCGCGCGACGATCTCCGCGCGCCCCCGCGCCGTCTGCCACGAGCGCCCCCTCCGCGTCGCTTGAAAGTTGCAATTCGGGGTGGCACGTTTGCGTCCTAGCGTTCTCCTCTCACTGCTCCACCTCCTCGCGCTTCTTCTCTGATATCCTGCCTGATCGCGCAATCGAATCTCAGCTGCGTGAGCGCGAACCGGCCTGCGCGCTGCGAGCCGAGTTGTCCCTTGAGCCACTCGAGCGCGCGTGCGCGGCATGCGAGACAACGCAGCTCGCCCGGCATCTCCTCGCACCGCAACTCTGCGCTGGCGGCGGCGATGCTCGCTTCCACTGGGGCACCTGGATCTATGAACAGCGATGCGTCTCGCAATGATTTCGCGCCACCTGCGTCAATTCCTGGCCCGGAATCCGACGGCGGCGCTTGCGCGCGGGGCCCGCCGTCGACGCTCGCAATGGGGGTCGGGCTGCCGCGAGGCAACCGCGACGTCTCGCTGGCATCCTCAAAACCAAACCTTTCCTCCTAGACTCCTCGTTTCCCTCCTGCCTGCGCTCGCGCGATCGCGCGCATTGACGGCCGCGTCTTCGGTGCCATGACCAATTCCCAGCTCCGCCAAGCACCCCGAGAGGCACTCCGCGTTCCCACCTCGGCGCGGCCAGGCATCTTCCATCCGCCCCCTTTTATTTCAATGCGCGCAACGTTCGCCCCATGACATGTCGGGGCTCGGGGCCCCTCGATCTGCCAGCCCCTGCAAGTCTCGCGCGCGCCGCCTCGCCATCGGTGCCGACTGAAGTTCTGGCTGGCAATGGCGCGCAAGCAACCATCCGTTCTACTAGCGCGCGAATGTCGCTGGAGTCGGTCGCGTACTTGGCGCCTGGGGCACTCGAATGAGCCGGCCATGCACTGCGCCGCCCTGGTCGCGCGCTCGATCTCACAATTTCCGCAAAACGCACGCTTTAACTAAAGCGCGCGCCGAATTGAAAGCGCCCCCCCCCGCCCGCCCCCGGCGCCGCGATTGCACTCCGGCCGCCGCTCTTCGAGATGACCGCGCTGTGACTGGCGAGAGCGACAGCGTCGCCCATTGCTTTGATAGAACAACTATCTAAATCTGGCCCGTTGACCGCGCTGCTCAATGCCGGGCGCCTTTCTCCCCCGCTCCCACCATCGCCTCTCCTGCCTCGTCTTGCCGCGCGAGGCCCGGGGGCGCCGCTGGATCGCCCGGGCAATCTGGCCCAGCCCCCCCCCCCGCGCGGGCCCTCCGCGCCGCCCTTCGCCAGACGCAACGAAAGCGCCAACTGTCGCGCGGGAAGCGGCCGCGGTCGCGTGCGCCCGCCCAAGTCGCCCAACCGCGACCCATGCGCTCGCGCCGCTGGCGGACCCGGCCTCGGGGGGGCATCGTCTGCGAAGCCCTGCTGCGCCTCTCCGACCGCTCGCTCTGACCCGCCCCGCCGCGGCGCCAGCGCGACGAACTGGGGCGCGGATGCTTGCGCGAGGTCGCGACGCGCTCCAGATAGCTGCGCGGCCTGCCGCGCGCGTCTCGAACTGGCGCGGCCCCGCCGCCGCCCCCCTCGATCTCGGGCTGGCGCGCTAACGCCTGCCAATTGTTTGCCGCTCCCACGGCGACCCTTTCCCGCGGCCCATGTTCGCCGACCTCTTTGCCCCGCTGCTGCGTCTGCTCGCCAACGGCGCCGCAGTCGCTTCAACGGGAAGCGCGCGCCGACTCGGGGGGCGGGGGCTGCCCCGCGCGCCCCCGAGTCCACCGCGCACATGGGGGTCTCCTCATCCGCGGGCGCGGTCGCCCACGGGCGCAGCATTGCCGCCCGCCTCGACGGGCGATGGCCCTGCGCGCGCCTGCGCCCGCTACCCCCCTTGCCCGATGCAAATATCTGATATTATTATTGATGCCGGTTGTGGGATGGCAGTGGGCGCGGGAGGTTGGGCCGGTTAACTTCCATTCGGTTCCCCTGGCCGTCTAGTTCATTGCCCCAGACGGCGGCGGCCCCCGCGGCGGGCGCTGGGCGCCCCGGTTTGCGGCGGAGCGTCAGCGACTCGAAGCAGATAATGGCGACGCGGGATTGCCCTCCAAGCCGGCAACGCCCCGCGCCCTTCACTGGGGCAAGCACCCTTGCATCTGAATTAGCAGGCGCCGCTGTAGAGTATTTGATAAATGCCATTCGGGCAACGTGCGTCGCGAAGACCTTTGCGGACTCTTCTGGGCGTCTCCCGGCCACCTTTCCCTCTATAACTACCTTGACAGGTGCCCCTGACATTTTGCGCTGAACGGCCGCCATTTCCGCGTCGGTAGCGCGGCGGTCGTTTTCCTTTCCGCTTGCTTCTGTCATTCGCGCCATCGCCGTCGCCATTGGCCGTGGGATCCTCGGTGGCACCGCGCTGACCCGAATATCCGTGCCTGCTCGGCCACCGCTGACCGTTGTCATGACAAACATCATACCCACTTCCATCCTATCCGTCCCCCCCTGGCCCAGCCGCTACATTCCGAATGGACCTCCTGGTGGCGCTCGGAGGTGAGCGAGCCCAGTGTATGCTAACAATGTCCTTGCCTACCAAAGCAATCCCCGACACGGTGCGCTGCGGTCCTTGACACCAGAACTCTGGGCGAGAAAGTAACGCAGGCAATGCCGCACTTGTCCTATCTCTCCGCCAACGCGCACCAGTTCTCAACAGTAGAAGACGCGTCATACATTGCTGGATGCTATCAAAGCTGATGGCCGAGCCATCTTCGTCGGTAGGGCAACTCCTGCAAAATGGGCATCGCCTGTAGATCTTCGGATAAAAAATGCATGTGTCCTTGTCGTTGTTAATCAACTCTCCGATAACGCGTCCAAGACTTCCCGACGCTGACCTCCTCGAGCTTGCTTTCTCGTTTTGCAGCCTCGTGTCACTATGCCTCGCCAGGTGCTTCTGTGCACCCGGAAGCTACGTAGCGCACAGCAGCTCAGCAACTTAAGAATGTCGTCCGCGCCAGGTTCCTTCAGGCTGAAGGAGCACGGCGACGACGATATGCTTAGGTTACTGAGCGGTCGTCCATAGTGTCCACTTGGGGTTCCAGTTCCTGCATGCCTTCCTGTTGTCGTTGCCCGCTTGGACTAGGGGGATGAGCGGCTTCCCTGCGGCCAGCCCTGTCACTGGAGATATCGCTCTGGGCTCACTGCTGAATTTTTGGATGTAAAGCGTAAGCCACGTTCCTCTGGCTCGGATGTTTTCTTTGACCTTGTTTGTCAGATCGTTCATACTGAGTGATTCAACCATGGTCCTCTCGAACTCTGCGACACGTGCTCTGCCTTGCTGGGTATTCTTGTCGTACTGGATTTCTCGGCGAATAACGATCGATAGCGCCGTGTTGGTTGTCCTGCTCATCTGCATCAGCGTGAACGTCTCATGACCAGCCACCTGCTCATATCATTCCTGGACGCGTTAGGACATGAACGTCGAATATCCGTCTCGATGTGTAACGACTGTCTACTTGCTTGACGTAGTTGCAGTCGCCGACCGGCATTGCTGTTTCAGGTGCAATTCGCGTCTTGCTAACTCGCCCCGCTACCACGCAAATTTCGACAATGCTTTGAAGCAGTAACCGTGAAACCATGAAGGATACGTTCAGGATCAATCGTGCGCACGATGCTGCAGTGCGTCGCACGAAGTGATGCTGCGGATGAAGCTTCCGCCAAACATAGACGGAGACCATTCATCTTTGCACCACCTCCTTCTCCGCCCCCGTCCTCTTCCGCTCCCCCCCACCTCCCTCCATACCCTCCCCATCTCCGACCTCGAACCTCGATCCTCGATCCTCGAACCCCGAAGTCGAACCTCGATCCTCGAGCCCACAAACCTCGATCCTCGAGCCCACAAACCTCGATCCTCGAACCCCGATCCTCGATCGCCTCGAGCCTCGATCGCCTCGAACCTCGAACCCCGAAGTCCAACCTCGATCCTCGAGCCCACAGACCTGGAACCTCGATCCTCGAAGCCGGAACCTCGAGCCCGTCCTCCCCCACCACTGAAGGGGCCCTGAGACACACAAATAAATACACACAAATAAAAGGATTCCCCATATTTTCCCATATTTTCTGGGTTTTTGTCTTCCCCCCCACTTCCCATATTTTCCCATATTTTCTGGGGAATCGACGATTAATTGTGTCTGTGTGTTTCTTTCTCTCCTGACCCACCACCCCCACGGGGGCCCGAGGCCGCCCCCCCCCCACCACGCCTGGGCCCTCGGCGCTGGCGCCGCCGCCGGCGAGCTCGGGCTCGAGGGCGCCCGCGCCAGACAGCGGCCTCGACGACGACGACGACGACGACGACGACGACGACGACGACGACGACGACAGCGATGATGACGGCGACGACGACGACGACGACGACAGATTAAGACGACGACGACGACGAGGGCGGCGGCGGCAGCGGCGGCCACGACGACGACAACGACGAAGGCAGTGGCAACGACGACGAAGAGGACTACGGCGACCGAGCACGACAGGCAGAGCAGCAGTATGTAGGAACAGCGGGGAAGATGAGGCGTTTGATCATTTTGGATATAGGACTTTGGACATGTCTGACCCCCCGCTGGGCCTTCACAAGCCTCCCAGGACCTCTGGAGGCATGTGGGGACCTACAAGGACCGCCCCAAGAGGTCCAGAGACTCCCGGGGTGGGGTGGGGCATGAGGACGAGAAAGCAGCGACAGCAGGAGTCCAGAGAAGGAGAAGGAGGATGATGAGGAGGAGGAGGAGCACTTCTCCGACGCTTCCTCCTTTTTCTCCTCGTCCTCCACCTCACATATGCTCCGTCCTCTTCCTTCCTCCTCCTCCTCCTCTTCTTCTTCACTCTTCCTTGCTACCCAGCTCGGTTCGCTGCCGCTGCCGTCGTTTTGATCCGCCTCACCTTATCACTCCTCCACCTCCTCCCCCTTCTACCCTTGTTCCGACACTTCCTCATCCGCGTCCTCCTCCTCTTGATCCTCCTCCTCCTCCTCCTGCTTCCTCCTGCGCCTCCGCTCCTCCCTCTTCCTCCACCTACGTCGTCGTCGTCGTCCTCCTCCTCCTCCTCCTCCTTCCTATTCTCACCCCCCCTCCTGCTCCGATCCGACTCGGCGCGCCTCAGGCGGAGCAGGAGCAGGTAGGTGAGCTGCGCGATGGCGCAGAGGAGCACCACCGTCGCGGCGCAGACGTACTTCCGAAGGACCGCCCTGGGGATGAGGAGGACGCTGATGATGCCGCTGCTGCTGATGATGATGCAGATGATGATGCTGCTGATGATGACGATGATGTCATGCTGCTGAAGATGCTGATGATGATGATGATGATGAGGAGGAGGATGATGATGATGATGGTGGTGGTGGTGATGCTGCTGCTGATGATGGTAATCATGTTGTTATGGTGATGATGCTAATGCTGCTGATGATGACGATGATGCTGATGATGGTGGTGGTGATGATCATGCTGCTGATGATGATGACTATGTTAATGATGATGCCATGGTGATGATGATCCTGATGATGATGCTGATGGTGGTGATGATGATGGTGATGATGATGATGCTGGTGCTGCTGATGATGATGATGATGATGATGAGGATGAGGACGAGGACGAGGACGAGGACGAGGATGAGGATGATAATGAGAATGATAATGAGGATGAGGATGAGGATGAGGATGCTGATGCTGATGCTGATGATGATGATGACGATGATGATGACGATAATGATGATGATGATGATGATGATGATGATGATGATGATGATGATGATGATGATGATGATGATGATGATGATGATGATGATGATGATGATGATGATGATGATGATGATGATGATGATGATGATGATGATGATGATGATGATGAGAGGAGGAGGAGGAGGAGGAGGAGGAGGAGGAAGGAGGAGGAGGAAGAGGAGGAGGAGGAGAAGGAGGAGGAGGACGAGGAGGACGAGGACGAGGAGGAGGAGGAGGAAGGGAGGCTTGACACTTCTGACATCGTGCCTCAATGCTTTGCCAAAACAATGGAAGGGAGGATCGAGCTTCGAACTTGGAGGAGGAGCAGGAGGAGCAGGAGGAGGAGGAAAGGTGGACGAGGGAGGGAAAGAGAGAGAATGCCGAGGGACGGAGGCTCTCAAGCTTTGAGCTTGGATGATCGAGGGACGACTTTTCCACGCTCTTGGGGCGCTCTGGTGGCCACGGCTGGCTTCGCCTAGAACTTCTGACGCGAACGCGCCACAAACCAGGCCCAGAAAGCGATTTTTGCCCTCTGGACACGGACCCCCTTCTGGAGGAAGTATCGTGACAACAAACTGCATCGACAAACTTTCGGAGGCCCGCGTGAGCGGTGCCACTCTTGGCGCGCTTCGCGCGCCAGGGAAGGGGGGTCGAGCGCCGACGCAAAAAAAAAACGTTTGGACCTCCGAAAGCTCATATTTATACAGATGTTTGTTATTATTCGAAGGAGGATGGACGAGGAAGGTTCTTTGGGTGGGCCAGCGGCTTAGCAGGAACGAACCCAGATGTGCCCAAGCCACAAGGCGGTCATCATTCTCTGGGTCCGAAGCGACAGATGATTGGATGCAGCTGGAGACCTCCCGAGGCAGCTAGCCCTAGGACCGATCACTCTGGCGGTGCTTGTCCTCGCTGGGAGCGGGCTCCAGGATTCCGAAGCGAACCCAATCACGGCGATGACGACGGCACCCCATTCGGCAGAGAACGTGTAACAAACAAACATCCAGGTGGGAAGCATTGGCAGAGAGCATGAGAGGGGGGGGGCGCGGGGTACGGCCTTCGAAGCAGGCATGCTGCGTCTTAGAGGGCATCTGATCATTCTACGCAAGAGGGCATCCGAGATTGCTGGATGCCTTCTGAGAAGCTCCCTGCCTTCTCAGATGGCCGCCCCCTCGCACAGGAACGCAGCGCGGGCGCAGAACTTCGGGAGCCCTGGCCTCAGCTCGTCCTCCACCTCCCGCCTCGTCCACTGCGGCCCATCGCTCAGCTTGTCGCCGTCGCTCAGTTTGATGGTGCTCGCCTGCGCCGGCAGCGTGATGCTGTCGGGCAGCTGGCAGACCTGGAATGAGGAGGGGCGGGCGAAAAGAGGGGAGGGAAAGACGGAGGGAGGGAGACAGGAAGAGGGTGGTGACTGCGGAAGGGGGATAGAGCCTCACCCTCTCCCTCCTGCAGAGGAACAAAACTGCATAAACAGTAACGAATTAGAGGTCCGCGCGGATCATTTGGATCTGCGCTGGCCCCTCACCACCCTCCCTGCGACGGAGGCACCGCCAGGGGGGGCCCAGCCCAGATCCAAGAAATCCGCGCGAACCTCCAACAATTGTATGTTTGTGCCGTTTCGTGTTCTTCGATCCGCACTGCGCCGCTCAGCTCCGCCCTTTGGCTTGCTCATGTCGCTTCGCTGAGTCTTTGCGCCGCCGTACTGCGCCCCGCCGCCGCCGGACCCCGGCGCAGCAGCCGCCGCCTCCCCCGCCGGCGGGGCCGGCCACTTCGCGACTTTCCAATTTCAATGTCCATGTTTACTTCCTCCTCCTCCTCCTCCTCCTCCACCTCCTCTCTTCCTCCTCCTTCTCCTCCTCCTCCTCCTCCTCCTCCTCCTCCTCCTCCTCCTCCTCCTCCTCCTCCTCCTCCTCCTCCTCCTCCTCCTCCTCCTCCTCCTTCCTCCTCCCCTCCTCCTCCTCTCCTCCTCCTCCTCCTCTCCTCCTATCCTCATCCTCCTCCTGCCCATCCTCCTCCTCCTCCTCCTCCTCCTCCTCCTCCTCCTCCTCCTCCTCCCTCCTCCGACTCCTTCTTCCCCCTCCTCCCTCCTCTCCCTCCTCTCCCTCATCCTCCTCTCCCTCCTCCCTCCTCTCCCTCCTCCCTCCTCTCTCCCTCTCCCCCTCCCTCCTCCCTTTAGGACCCCGGGGAGACCTGGCCCACCGCGGACAAGAAAGTGTGGCTGGACAGCGGCAGCTCCAGCCGCCGCGCGGTGCGCTCCTTGGCGAGGTCCATCTGGTGCCGGCCCAGGGTGAGCATGTGCCGCTGGCCACGGCCGCAATGGCGGCAGCGGCCCTCGCGGGAGGAAGGCGGGGGAGGAGGCGGAGGAGAGGGGCCTTCTCGGTCCCAGCTCCTCCTCGCTGCTCCTCCTCGCTCCCCCTCGCTCCCCACCCTCTTCCTTTTCCTTCTCCACGCCCTCCTCTTCCCCCTGCTCCTCCTGCTCCTCCTGCTCCTCTTGCTCCCCTGCTCCTCCTCCTCCTCCTCCTCCTGCTCCTCCTCCTCTTCCTCCTCCTCCTCCTCCTCCTCGCCATCCTCCTCCTCGCCGTCCTCCTCCTCCTCCTCGCCCTCCCTCTCCTCGCCTTCTTCCCTCCTCCTCCTCCCCTCGCCCTCCTCCTCCCTCCTCCTCCTCCTTTCCTTTTTGCTTCTCCTTTTCCTCCCTCCTCCTCCTCCTCCTCCTCCTCCTCCTCCTCCTCCTCCTCCTCCACGTCCTCCACCTCCTCCTCCTTCGCCGTCTCCCTCGTCTTCTTAGTGCGGAATTTCCATTGCTGTTACCTTGGGGGAACCCTGCATGTATGCACTGGTATTTGGGCCCTGTTCCATGGGGCTTCGCAGAAACGTCACAAGACATCGTATGGTGTAGAACGTTCCTGCCGGTTCTCTCGGAAACAAGTGTCCGAAAAAATCCGCCGACCCTGTGTCGGCGTGTGTCAGGGGTTTGTCCGTTCCCGTCGTTCGTTCGTGTCGTCCCCCCTTTCCCCCTCTTCCATGGGCCCGCCGCCGACCCATCCTTGGCCCCAGCCCCGGCCATGGCCCCGGCGGGCCCTGGCCAGCCCTGGCCCCGGCCCTGGCCCCAATCCCAGCCTCGGCCCCGGCCCCGGCCCCGGCCCTGGCTCCCGGCCCGCTCCGGCCCCGGCCCTGGCCCAGGTCCCGGCCCCAGCGCCCTCCAAATCTAACTACACCTCCGTAGCCTCCCATATACCCAAGATGGCGAACACTGTTTCAAAACAGCGAAGGAAGCGTGGAAGTCGCCCCAAGAGGGCCCCAAGACGCCCCGAATGGTCCTGATAGGCAACCGTCGTAGTCGTCAACATCGTCAACATCGTCGACATATCTCCCTCCTTCTCCTCCTCATGATCGCCACGCTCTGCTCGCCCATGCCACTTCTTCGTGCCCCCCCCCCCCGCGACCCTGCTCGCCTCACTCTCCTTCTATTCAGTATCCCCCTGTGCTCCTTCTCCTCCTTATCCGCCTCATCATCTTGTCACCCTCCTCATTTTCCTCCCCATGCTCCGCGCCCCTCTCCCCAGTTTCAACCTCAGGGTCGGCGGCATTGGCCGTAAGGCCTTCGCAATAAGCACTGCGTTGGGCCGCCATGTGCCACTACAAGTGGACAAGCACAATATGGCAATGGACAACCTCTTGGTCCCAACTGCGACAATGATGTTTCACTTTCTGTTTCCTCTTTGACTTCTTCTTAATATTAGTATGACTTTTATTATTGTTATTGCTATTATTACTAATAATAATCATATTTTCCCTCTCCGTCTCCTTATCATCATCCCTCCTCCTGCTTCTCTTATCCCTCATCCTCCTCCTGCCCATCCTCGTCCTTCTCCTCCTGCTGTCGCCAGAGGCAAGAAGATGCAACGTTCCTCCTCCTCCTCCTCCTCCTCCTCCTCCTTTTGAGCGCATGAACAACGCCCCCCGCGCCCCACGTGAGGAACTTTATTTAGACCAATGGGACCGTCAAGCGACGCGCGAACTGCAAGCGGAAACTGCTCGACGGTCAGCCAATGACAACGCCGCGCAATTCAATGTGAGCGGCGCGCTGCTGCCATGCTCATTGGCGTGTGGCCAACGCCCAAAATCATTGTGGACATTCGCGCGCTCGTGCCGGGGCAAAAACCAATGGGCACGTCGGCCCTTGGCGGCGCCGGCAAGAGCCCCAGGCGGCACCCAGGGCCCGCCGCGCACAGGCGCGCATCGAATAGCTTAGATCCACCCCAAAGACAAAGTTTAGGCACCAGACCAACAAAAAATAGAAACTCAATCTAGAATCAATCAAACTTTTTCCGAAGCAGACAATCTCGCGCGGGAAAACCCCGAAATGTTTATATACACAGAATTATCCCGGCAAAGCAACCTAACAGCGATGTGTAGGAACATATCTGGAAGCATTCCCCGTAAGATTCAGATGAGAATCCAGTTGTAAAATTATGCTGTTCTCGCAGTCGTAGTCGCATTCGCGATGACAGTCGCAGTGGCAACGGCACTCGCAGTCACAGCCTCAGCCTCAGCCTGCCTCAGCCTCAGCCTCAGCCTCAGCCTGCCTCAGCCTCAGCCTGCCTCAGCCTCAGCCTCAGCCTCAGCCTCAGCCTCAGCCTGTTTCAGCCTCAGTCTGCCTTCAGCCTCGACCTCAGCCTCAGCCTGCATCAGCCTCAGCCTCAGCCTCAGCCTGCCTCAGCCTCAGCCTGCCTCAGCCTCAGCCTCAGTCTGCCTTGAGCCTCAGCCTCAGTCTGCCTTGAGCCTCAGCCTCAGTCTGCCCCTCAGCCTCAGCCTGCCTCCGCCTCAGCCTGCATCAGCCTCAGCCTCAGCCTCAGCCTGCCTCAGCCTCAGCCTGCCTCAGCCTCAGCCTCAGCCTGCCTCAGCCTCAGCCTCAGCCTGCTTCAGCCTCAGCCTCAGTCTGCCTTCAGCCTCGGCCTCAGCCTGCCTCAGCCTGCCTAGCCAAGCCTCAGCCTCAGCCTCAGCCTCAGCCTCAGCCTCAGCCTCAGCCTCAGCCTCAGCCTCAGCAGCCTTCAGCCTCAGCCTCAGCCCTTCAGCCTCGGCCTCAGCCTGCCTGCCTCAGCCTCAGCCTGCATCAGCCTCAGCCTCAGCCTCAGCCTCAGCCTCAGCCTGCCTCAGCCTCAGCCTCGGCCTGCCTCAGCCTCAGCCTCAGCGTGCTTCAGCATCAGTCTGCCTTCAGCCTCGGCCTCAGCCTCCGCCTGCCTCAGCCTCAGCCTGCATGAGCAGCCTCAGCCTCAGCCTGCCTCAGCCTCAGCATCAGCCTCAGCCTCCTCAGCCTCAGCCTCAGCCTCAGCCTCAGCTGCCTTCAGCCTCGGCCTCACCCTCAGCCTCACCCTGCATCAGCCTCAGCCTCTGCCTCAGCCTACCTCAGCCTGCCTCAGCCTCACCCTCAACCTGCCTCAGCCTCAGCCTGAGCCTGCTTCAGCCTTAGCCTCAATATGCCTTCAGCATCAGCCTCAGCCTCGGCCTCAGCCTGCCTCAGCGTCAGCCTGCATGAGCCTCAGCCTCAGCCTCAGCCTGCCTCAGCATCAGCCTGCCTCAGCCTCAGCCTCAGCCTGCTTCAGCCTCAGCCTCAGTCTGCCTTCAGCCTCGGCCTCAGCCTCAGCCTCAACATCAGCCTCAGCCCGCGTAAACCTCAGCCTCAGCCTGCCTCAGCATCAGCCTGCCTGAGCCTCAGCCTCAGCCTGCCTCAGCCTCAGCCTCAGCCTGCTTGAGCCTCAGCCTCAGTCTGCCTTCAGCCTCGGCGTCAGCCTGCCTCAGCCTCAGCCTCAGCCAGCCTCAGCCTCCGCTTGCCTCAGCATCAGCCTGCCTCAACCTCACCCTCAGCCTGCCTCAGCCTCAGCCTGCTTCAGCCTCAGCCTCAGTCTGCCTTCAGCCTCGGCCTCAGCCTCAGCATGCCTCAGCCTGCCTCACCATTGAAAATCATGCCCAGGAATGGAGTTCTGGGAACTCGAAGAACACGAAGTGGCCTACAGTTGGCGCTGGGCATTCAAAATCATCCCCAAGAATGAAGTTCTGGGAACTCGAAGACCACGAAGTGGCCTACAGTTGGCGCTGGGCATTCAAAATCATGCCCAGGAATGGAGCTCTGGGAACTCGAAGACCACGAAGTGGCCTACAGCTGGTTCCGGGCATTCAAAAACATGCTCAGGAATGGAGTTTTGGGAACTCGAAGAACACGAAGTGGCCTACAGTTGGCTCTGGGCATTCAAAATCATGTCCAGAAATGGACTTCTGGGAACTCGAAGACCACGGAGTGCGTTACTCTTGGCTAAAAAAGGAATTTCCGGATTCCCCCGGATCCCGTCCGGATCCCGCCCAGACCCCCCTGGGGAGTCAAGATGCTCTCTTTTGACACCACTAGAAACCTATCAATCTTCGCTCTTAACTAAAAATGCGTTTACATAGACGCAAAAAAAATATTTTTCAATGCGCAATAGCCTTAAGAGAAACGCTTCCGATTTAAGCTTTTCCGTCGGCGGGGTTGCGAGGGGGCGACGGGGGCGGGCGTTGGGGCCCTCGGCTGGGCCATCGGCGCTGCCGCGCGAGGGACAGCGCCGCCGTCGCCTCAAACTGCATGCCGCGGCCGTGGCGCGCGCGGCCCTGGGAATGCCGGCGCGGGCGCGGCCGCGCCGAGCGGGCATCAGACGTCGCCGCGCGCGCGGTGCCCCCCTGCGGCAGCTGGCAATGGTTTGGCCGACAGGGCGCCTACACTTACGCTCATTCGCCGAAGATGCAAAACGCTGACATGTAAAATCCATAATTGTGGGGATTGGTGTCGGTTTCCCACTTCCTCCTTTTCCTCCCCCTGCTCCTCCTCCTGCTCCTCCTCTTCTCTGCTCTCCTCCTTCTCCTCTCTTATCCCCTTTCCTTATAAGTACCTCCTCCCGCCCACCAATCGCACCACCAAATGTGCCCGTAGGCTGGGCCAAACGCTTCGCTCAGAAATGGTCTTTGAAGCTTGGACCTGTTACACGGATGGAGGCCGGGTCCTTCTCGAAATCGGGATATCGCCTGAACGCCGCGCGCATTCGTCTTAAAAACCTACAGCGAACACGCGGATGGAAGCCGGTACGTTGTCAAGTGGTGGCTTTCGCCTGCTCTCGCCTGAGACTCCCTCAAACTCTTTTTCCATCTGCGGCGGGGCGGGGCAATCCGCTCCAGCGTGCAGCGATGCAGGGGCACTACAAAGCGAATTGGCCGGCATGCAGGAGGGGGGAGGAGGAGCATGGGGCGGCCGCGGGGGGGGGGGAAAGGGCGAGCACTCAGAGGCGGAAGACTTCCGCCATGAGCAGCCGGAGCGGCCCTCGGGCGGCGGGGACGGCGTCTGGGGGGGGCAGGAGCGCCAGCCAGGTAGACCGCGTCAGCAGGTTTCCTCAAACGTGTTAAAGCAGGTGTGGGATTGTGCGCCAGTTATACAGATGGGGAGCGATTCCTGTTCAGCATGGAGACATTGCCTCTGACTCCGTCGAACTTACCGACCAGGGGCTTGAACAAATGTAACGTCCTGCGCGGATGGAGAGCGGCTGGCTTTCACAACGGGGCTTTCGCACACAAGACTCCCGAAACTGAATGGCCAGAAGTGCCACCTTGTGCAACAATTTACATGGATATAGGGCGGTTCCTTTGCACAGCGGGGCTCTCGTCGGACACCTCGCTCAATGTTACCACCCTATCTTGCCGCGTTCCTCGGACCTTGCTGATGCAGGGCCATAAATTTGATCACCAAGGAAAACTGGGCCCTCGCCCGAGCTTCAGGCCCAGATGGTGTTCGCCTTTCTGCTCCTCCCTCCCTCACTCCCTCTCCCTCCCTCCCTTCCTCCTCCTCCGCATCCGGCTCCTCCTCCATTCATCTCCAATCCCTCCTCCTCCTGCCCCCCCTCCACCACCTCGCTCCTCCTCCTTCTCCTCGTCCTCCTCCTGCTCCTCCTCGTCCTCCTCCTCCGTCTCCCCATTTAATATCTTATTACTCTTCACCACCATCGACGCCGCATCATCGTCATCGTCATCGTCATCGTCATCGTCATCGTCGTCATCATCATCATCATCATCATCATCATCATCATCATCATCATCATCATCATCATTAACATCATCATCATCATCATCATCATCATCATCATCATCATCATCATCATCATCATCATCATCATCATCATCATCATCATCATCATCATCATCATCATCATAGCAACATTATCGTCATCATCCGCAGCAGCACCAGCGCCACCAATCTTCATCCTCATCGCCTTATCCTGCTCACACCCTCCTGCTCGACGACCTCATTCTGTTTCCCCTTCCCCAGACCCCCCCCCTCCTCCTGCATCTCAGCGCAGCCATCGGCCTCGTGCACGGTGATTTGCACCATCAGAGCAGAGGGGTCCTTCGTCAGCGCGAAAATGCTGTGCTCCATGAAGCGCCTCCGCTCGGCCTCCCACGCGCCGTACTCGCGGGTCTTGGGCAAAGTCTTCGCCCAGACCTCCGCGTGGAACGCGTGGCCGCAGTCGTATCGGACGGTCACCTCCCGAGCGGGCGAGGACCGCACAGAATCAGGAGCGCCCCTCCACGTGGGACGTCGCTCTCAAGGAGAAACTGCGGATGTTGACCGCTACACTTCACCTCAGACGCACCTCAGGCCCCTCCGAGGGGAAAGGGGCCTGACTCCTCGAAGAGGTAGCCGAGGAGAAAATGAGTGAGCGTGGCATTGCACGCAAGAAAAAAAACGTCGCGTGTGGATCCGACCTCAGCGGTGACAACCCAGGAGGCAGGGGGAGGAGGCGGAGGAGAGTGGGGAAGGGAAGGAATGCATCACATCGCATCCAGAAGCGAGTGTGCGCTGGCTGCGGTCAAACACTATCAATACTGATGGCATGGTCTCCCAAAGTCTCTGGCGTAACTCCCGCGCCATCTGCTTGCGCCCAGGAAACTCGATCTAAGCTACCTCGGCCATATTCCATCAGTATCCTTGCGGCACTCTGTGTCTAACATGTGCGATCGGTGTGGCCAGGAAGACAGTTCTTGGCACAAGGTCTGGCAATGCAAGTGTCCTCGAGCCACAGCCATCCACACCGAAGCCTTCTCTCAGGACTGGCCCAGCTCTTTCATGTTGAGCCGAGGCTGTCTGGCGCGAGCCGACACTGATCGACGGCCACTTCTGTGATTGGGAGATCACGTTTGGAGGGACCCCTCCATCCCTCCCTCCTTCTCTCCCTCCCCCTCATCGGCGGGGCCCTGTGCCAGAATTTCGCGTTGAGCCTGGGTTCAGCCTGTTCACCGGCGGCCTCGGCCTTATCCCGCACCTGAGCCACCTCGCCTGCTAGTGCTAGCGTGGCCCAAGTGGGAGATGCTGGCGAGTTCAGCCGCGGGCTTCGCGCCATCCTTCCTGCGGCCATGCTCCAGAGCGGCGGGACAACATAGCACAGTGCCGCCGTGCTCGCAATCTACTACAGCGTTAATCATTGTGCGCTAGGCTCCAGGACCAGTCGGGGAGACAACCTGCAGGCCCACATCTGGAGAGAGGTTACCATGGTTGTACCAAGCGGACTCCTGTCGTTTGCGACAGTGGACGAGCGCCAACATGAAGACGACACTCCGAGCTGGGTAGTCGAAGCCACTCTGGCGCCAATCTGGCGGGTCCAATCTGGCAATCTGGCCAGGGAGTCAATCTGATCCTATCTGGCGAGAGCCAATCTGCCGCCAATTTGGCAATATGATGCAATCTGGTAAATGGCCCCAACATCAGATATATCATTTGAGGAGCAATCTGGCATACGACCCAACCTGGCGGATGCTGAAACAAACATTGTGGCGCACCCCTTGGGGGGGAAAGCGCTCAAACAGGAGAACATCCCAATCTGGCACTCTGGCCCGAAAGCCAACCTGGCCAACCTGGCGAAGTGTTCAACCTGGCAATCTGGAACAACATTCAACCTGGCTGTCCTCTCAAGCCAATCTGGCGGGCACGTCAACCTGGCGCGCAATATGTTGTACAATCTGGAACGCGTTGCAATCTGATCCAAGCTGCCGTACGAACCAGATCCTATCATATTCGTACTCTGTGGTCCACGCGCTTCCCCACGGTCCCCTACGGTCCCCCACGGGATTCCCTGAGGAATCCTTGGAGAATCTTCAGAGAATCCCTAGAAGGATTCCTTCGGGAATCCGTTGACATCCTGAAGGAATCCTTAGAAATCCCTTGGGAATCTCAAGGGAATCCTTGAGGAATATTCACGAGTCCTTAGGGAATCATCAGGAACCCCTGCGTAATCCTTAGGAATCGCTATGGGATCCTTACGGTCCCTTGGGCATCCCGAGGGGAACCTTAAGAATCCTCAAGGTATCCTCAGGAACCCCCATGGGGTTCCTTAGGAACCCTCAGGGAACCCCGTAGGAAATCACTGGCAGGGGGGACGGGGGGGATGGGCGGGGGGGCTTACTCTGCCGACGGAATGGGCTGGCTGATCACCACGCGGGGCTAGCAGCACGTAGCCATGGTTACAGTAACAGCAAGCGTGAGGATGTCTCCTGCACCTTGACAATATGTACACGACCCTAAATCACGAGGCAGGGGGCGTGCTGGGGGAGAAGCCTTCGTTTGGGGAGCTGGGTGGGTTGGGTCGTTCTAGGGTCGGACGAGAAGGTGCAGGGTATGGTTCAAATGGTGCGGGCACAGGTCTGCGATCCGGTTCGAATGCGCAGTATTGAGCCCTTCCCTGTACGACTTGTTAAGAGGGCCTCGGAGACACCATGCTGCACATGTTATTTGGGGCAAGAACGGTGGCATCACTGAGGTCTACTGTTCTGTATGTGGTGCCTTCACCACCGCCTGCAGAGCAGGACGGAAACTTCTCGACCTTTTAACGCGTGCTCCTTCTTCGGAGAAGAGGAAACTCAAGAGGGGCCTCCTATCTGGAACCGATGCCAAGATCGGTCTCAACTGCTCTCTCTGCCACCAGCCGTGAACTGAAGGCCGTGTTGCGGAAATTGCTGTCCGCGGTATGTTGTACTATGTCTGACGAACTGCCTTCAGGATTATCGGGCAATCAAGGAGAACCAGGGTAAACCAAACACACGTATCAACGATGCTGCAATACATCCTCCCGCCCCAGGCCCCTCCCTCATCAGTCCCTACAGGAAGCATTGTGCAGTGCGCGAAACGCCACCCCTGAGCGCCCCGTGGACCTGAAGTTCGGGCGTGAGCTCCCTTTTGCAAGAAACCACCCTCCATCAAACGAGCTGTAAGAAATGCGCGACAAGGTCGGCTCCCTATAATAGAGAGCCGAAAATCCACCCCCATAATAAGCACCCCAACAAGCAAGAAGTGCCCAGCGGCCGCCCTGCTTTGAACGCATACGTCGCACAAATCTGAACTTCTTGCCATCAACCCTGACGAAATCTCAAGCGAAAACCCCGTGTTGAACAAGAACAACTATCCATCCGTGTAACTGTTACGCACTGCTACGTGTGTGGCAAATTGGTCCAAGAAACCTCAATAAAGAACTCTCCATGCTGAAAACGAGACGGCCTTCATCCGTGTAGCTATTGCCCAGTGTTGCACTTGTGGTGACATTGTATGAGGGAGACTCAATTCAGAGGACAACTGGCCCTCCATCCGTGAAGCGGATGTTACTGTTAAGACGAATGTGCGCGGCGCTAAGGCGAGAGCTGCATTTTGAATCCCGTCCCCCTCCACCCTCGTAACTGCTGCAAACTCTTAAGACGAATGTGCGCGGTGCAGAGGCGAGAGCCGCCTTTTAAAAACCATCACACCTCCATCCCCATAAACCTTGAAAACCAATGTGCGCGGCACAGAACGGGAGCCACATTTTGAAATCTCCGGGCCATGCATTCGTGTGACTGTTGGATGGTCAAGCTTCGGGGCACTGAGTGTTAAGCGAAATGCCTGGTCCAGCCTATGGCCTATGGGTACGCATGGGGGTGTGACAAGAAGGATTTTGTTAGAGGAGGGGGGGAGAGAAGAGCGGATGAGGAGAAGGAAGAGCAGGAGGAGGATGAGGAGGAGGAAGAGAAGGAGAGCGAGGGGGGCGAGGAGTGAGGAGCTGGGGGAGCGAGGAGGGACCGAGGAGGAGGCAGGAGGGGCGAGGAGGGAGCGAGGAGGGAGGAGGAGGCAGCGAGGAGGGGGGAGCGAGGAGGCAGCGAGGGATCGCGGAGGCGCGAGGGAGCGAAGGGGCGGCCTCGTCGCAGCACCGCCTCTCGCCGATGTCCCACAGCACGTCCACAAACTCACGTGGCGGGGCGCCGCCCGCGGGCGCCCCCCGGGCGGCCATCGCGCGGGCGCCTGGGCCGGGAGGCCCCTCGTGACAGCCGCCGCCGCTGCCGACGACGACGACGGCGACGGCGGCGACGACGAGGACGACGAGGACGACGAGAACGACGAGGACGACGAGCAGCACGAGGTCGAGGAACAGGAACAAGAACGGCAGGATTCCGTGGGCCACCGAAAACGCAAGGAGCCTTCCTCCCAGTCCTGCCATCCTGCCTCCCCCCCGACACATCGCCCCTACACAATTACTCAATATGAATACTACTCTCCCTCTTCCCATGATGACGGAATGGGAGTAGCCGATCCCCCCCCCGCGTACTGTTTTTTTACACGCAGGTTTCCCCAGAGTTGGGTTTTCGCCTGCATTTTTGTCCAAAAAATGCTGCTCTCGCTGAGGCGCCGGCCTCATTTTCTGGCCCCGCTCGTTCCGAATTGTGCTCCCGCTGCAGCGCTGGCCTCATTTCCGCCGGCGCCTGGGCTGCACGCCCGAGGCGGCGCCCGGGCCGGCAGGTCCGGAGCCGGTTCCTGCCGCCCCCAGAAAATCGAGTTACGAGGCGGCGCCGAAAAAAGGCCATTCTAATACACATTTTTTCTGAAAATGCTAAATTTCTGCTTCCGGCGCCCGGGAGGCCTCCTGGGCCGATTCCGACGCCCGGGCTGGCGCCCGAGCCGGCGCCCGGGCCGGACGCCCGAGCCGGCGCCCGTGCCGGCGCCCGGGCCGGGTCCGGAGCCGGTTCCGGCCGGCGCCGGAAAATCGAGTTCCGAGGCGGCGCCGAAAAAAGGCCATTCCAATACACATTCTTCTTTTGAAAATGCTGAATTTCTGCTTCTGGCGCCCGGGCCTCCCGGGCCGATTCTGGCGTGCTTCCGCTCGTTCCGAATCGTGCTCCCGCTGCAGCGCTGGCCTCATTTCCGCGCTTCCGCTCGTTTCGACTCGTGCTCCCGCTGCAGCGCTGGCGTCATTTCCCGTGCCATGCCACGGCATGCAATGCAATGCTAGGTTGATACTACGCTTCGCGGTGCTCTTCTACGCCATGCCATGCCGTGCTCTACAATGCATCGCGTACCCTTTCGGGATCATTGCCCTGCTCGACATCCGACTGTGCGAGTAGAGAGGGGATCTGCGCCATGGGAAGGGATGGGAGGGAGGGGTAGGATGTCAGATATGACGCGAGCGCACCTAGCTTGACAAATCCCCCTCCCTCCCTCCCTCCCCCCCTTTTCCTCTCCTCCGCAATCCCTGGCCCCCCCGCGCCCCGGGGCAGCCAGAAAGGGCGCCTGCCGGCGAGGCCGTCATCCGTGCTTCCTCCCTTCAGTCCTCCCCTCTCTTCCCCGCTCCTCCCCTCTGCTCCCCTTTCCTTCCTCTCCCTCCCTCCCACCCCTCCCTCCTGTTCCTCCTCCCCCCCGCTGCTCATCCCCCTACCTCCACCTTGCAGATAGCCACCCCCTGTTGCGCAGCCAGATGTGTCCGTGGGCCAGGCTGGCCGTTTCGCTTGAGACTTCCCCCGCATGAACTATCCAGAAGCTGATATCGAGGAGGACCACTCGAAATGAGTAAGAATTTCACGGATGGAGGGCGGTCCGTTTTCAATTATCCCGGCAAAGCAACCTAACAGCGATGTGTATACGCATATCTGGAAGCATTCCCCTTAAGATTCAGGTGAGAATCCAGTTGTAGAATTCTGCTGTTCTCGCAGTCGCAGTCGCATTCGCAATGACAGTCGCAGTGGCAACGGCCTTAGGATCCAATGGAATCCTCAGGATTCTTAAGGATTTCTGAGGATACTTAACTATGCCTACGGATTCCTAAGGATGCCTACGGATTCCTAAGGATTCCTAGGGATTCCTAAGGATTCCCATGGATGCCTCAGCCTGCCTCAGTTTCAGCCTCAGCCTCAGCCTGCCTCGGCTTGCCTCAGCCTCAGCCTCAGCCTGCCTCGGCCTCAGCCTCAGCCTGCCTCAGCCTCAGCCTCAGCCTGCCTCGGCCTCAGCCTGCGTCAGCCTCAGCCTCAGCCTGCCTCAGCCTCAGCCTCAGCCTCAGCCTCAGCCTCAGCCTCAGCCTGCCTCGGCTTGCCTCAGCCTCAGCCTCAGCCTGCCTCGGCCTCAGCCTGCCTCAGCCTGCCCCCTCCCCTCCCCCCCCCTTCCCCCCCCCATTCAGCCTCACCTTGTCTCAGCTTCGGCCTGCCTCGGCCTCATCCTCAGCCTCAGCCTCAGTCTCAGCCTCAGCCTGTCTCGGCCTGAGCCTGCCTCGGCCTCAGCCTCAGCCTGCCTCAGCCTCAGCCTCAGCCTGTCTCAGCCTCAGCCTGCCTCAGCATCAGCCTCAGCCTGCCTCGGCCTCAGCCTGCCTCAGCCTCAGCCTCAGCCTGCCTCAGCCTCAGCCTCAGCCTCAGCCTCAGCCTGCCTCGGCCTCAGCCTGCCTCGGCCTCAGCCTGCCTCAGCTCGGGCATTCAAAATATGGCACAGGACTTGTGTTCTGGGAACACGAAGAACACGAAGTGGCCCACAATTGGCTCCAGGCAATCAAAATATGGTGCAGGAGTGGTGTTCTGGGAACACGAAGAACACGAAGTAGCCTACAGTTGGCTCCGGGCGTTCAAAATTAGCCTGGGAATAGTGTTCTGGGAACACGAAGAACACGAAGTGGTCTACAGTTGGCTCCGGGCAATCAAAATGTGGCCTGGGAGTGGTGTTCTGGCAAAAAGAAGAACACGAAGTGGCCTACAGTTGGCTCCGGGCATTCAAAAGGTGGCCTGGGAACGGTGTTCTGGGAGCACGAAGAACACGAAGTGGCCTACAGTTGGCTCCGGGCATTCAAAATGTGGCCTGGGAGCGGTGTTCTGTTGGCTCTGGGCAATCAAAATGTGGCTCCTGGCAGTGAAAATGGAGAGTTCCCAGATTCCCGCGGCAGTCCCCGAATTCCCGCAGCACCCGTCCGGCATCTGCCCAGACCCTCCTGGGGAGTCATGATGCTAATTTTGAGACCACTAGAAACCTATCAGTCTTCGCTGTTAGGTAAAAAGGCGCTCTCGCCTTAGCGCCGCGCGCATTCGTGTAAGTTTGCGAGAGTTTCGCGAATGGAGGGCGGTTCCTTTTCATAATGTGGCTCTCGCCTTAGCGCCGCGCACATTCGTACCAAGAGCTTGCAACATGTTCAAATATTATCAATGTTAACGTCCCCAAAACATGTTTTGGCACGATGTCGGAATATCAGCGCTCAGCAGTCACGATGATTCACGGCGTTTGAAGTCCCAGGAATGGCGTTCTGGCACGATCCAGGATCGTCTAGACGCAACAATACGGGTGGTTCGCGGCGCTGAAATCCCAGGAGTGGCGTTCTGGCACAGTTCGGGATTGTCAAACAGTTGTCTTCCAACGGGGCACTTCCCGCAGAGACCATGAATCCTTGTAGGGACCCATGAAGAGGGAACTGGAGGGAAGGTTTCTTGGAACACAGTTGACGAGTCTTGAGCTTGCACTGGCCCTCCTCCTCCTCCTCCTCCTCTTCCTCCTCCCCTCCCTCCTCCTCCCCTCCTCCTCCCTCCTCCTCCTCCTCCTCCTCCTCCCTCCTCCTCCTCCTCCTCCTCCTCCCTCCCTCCTCCTCCCTCCTCCTCCCTCCCCTCCTCCCCTCCCTCCCTCCCTCCCTCCCTCCCTCCCTCCCTCCCTCCCCCCCTCCCCCCTCCCCTCCCTCCCTCCCTCCCCTCCCTCCCTCCCCCTGCTCCTCCTCTCCCCCCCCGCCCCCAGGAGGGCGGGCCCGCCGGGCGCCACGGAGGTCCCGCGCGAGGCGCCTGCCCCGGTGCAGGTCCGCCGCCGCCCGTCGGGCCTTCGGGCGGCCTCCCCCGTGGTGCGGGCGCAGCCTCGCGCCAAGACGGCCGCGTCGTCGTCGTCGGATTGTCGTCGTCGTCGGGTCGGGCGTCGTCGTCGGATTGTCGTCGTCGTCGTCGTCGGGCGTCGGGCGTCGGGCGTCGGGCGTCGTCGTCGTGCGTCGTGCATCGGGCGTCGGGCGTCGTTGTGGGCGCCGTCGTCGAGGGTCGAGGTTCGAAGATGGCGGCTTTCGGATGTGATTAGTGTTACTCTCTGCCTCCTGGGGCGCTGCCGTCGCCACGGCCGGATTCTGCTTCAAACTACTTGTCAAAGCACACCCTGGGAGGAAGAAGGGAGGTTGGAGGGAAGGGGAGCCCGCCTACTCCTCCTCCTCCTCCTCCTCCTCCTCCTCCTTCTCCTCCTCCTCCCCCTCCTCCTCCTCCTCCGCACTCCGCACTCCTCACTACTCTTCCGCCTCCCTCCGCATCCTCCTTGCCTTCCCCTCGGGCAGGGCATCAAATCTAACCTTCGCCAGTTGATAAGGACAGGCTGTTTGGGGAAAGGACACAAACGCCATCGACAACGACGGCGCCGACGACATCGACGACGACGACCGTCGTTATCGTTTCCTCCTTACTCGTTTGCTGGCGGCGCGGGGGCAGGGGGGGGTGACCCCCCTCCCCGCCGCGCGCTCCTCCTCCTCCTCCTCCTCCTCCTCCTCCTCCTGCCCCTCCTCCTCCTTCTCCTCCTCCTCCTCCTCCACCTCCTCTTCCTCCCCTTCCACCATTCGAAGTCCTCCCCTCGTGCGTTGACACAAGGAATCCGGCATGCGTCCACGAGGCTGCCCGGAAGCCCCACAAAAAAATGTCCTCGACGATGCCCCGAAGGGGACCCCCGGTTGGTTGGCCATTTTTGGGGTGGGAAGCTGTGGACACAGGGGGCCTGGATCAGTCAAAGCCGTGGTGTCATAGGGTACTCGAGCAGTATGGCGCAAGTAGTCCTCGACGAAAGCCCGAAGTGAACCCCGTTGGTTAAGCGTTGCTTAGGTTGAGAAGCTGTGGACACACTGGGCCTGGATCAGTCCAGACAGTAGTGTCAGAAGGTACTTGGGCAGTACGGCGCAAGTATATACGCACGGTGTGAGCGTACAACATGCTTCCAGCCCTACGCCAAGATCGTGCAAACTTGGCCCGTTTAAGGCTTTGCGCGTGCACCTTGCACGTGCGCGTGAACACCCTCCCCACCCCCTACCCTTCGCACAAAGGCGCCAACTACACACGGACACCGATCCTGGCCATGCGGACACCGGCCCAAGAGCGGTGCGCACGTATTCCGTATTCCTGGCCGGCCTTCAGCAACTATGCGCGCGCCAGCGTCACTACCCAGTCGAGGCGGTGCCAGCTAGCCGAGGGCCACTTTGGAAAGAAATATATCCCCGACGGCGAGGCGGTCCCCCCATACTTTTCGATGCGCTGCACCGTTGCGGCAAAAGCTTGGAGGAGTGCCGCAAGTGGCAGAGCCGAGCCAGCACCGCCCCAGAGGGAAAGGGGCCAGTCTCTCCGACGCCGTCCTGGCCAGTCTCTCGAGCTGCGATCCGCCGCGGCCACGAGGAGGCTCCCGAAGGCCCCCACAAAGGGCAAAGCTCCATCTCGAGGCGTCGCCGCGACAGCGCCGCCGCCGCGTCGCCCTGAGGCCCGGGCCGGACTGCTGGGTCATGCCCATGGGGTCGCGGCCGCGGGCGGACACGGCGCCCGTGGACTGGAAGCCCTCGCGGAGAGGAGGGGGGGGGGCGTCGCAGAGGAGGGAGGAGGAGGAGGAGGAGGAGGAGGAGGAGGAGGAGAAGGAGGAGGAGGAGGAGGAGGAGGAATGTGAGGAGAAGGTGGCCGCACGTGCACGACGACCCACAGCCATTAGCACAGCACAGGAGGGGGAGGAGGTGGAGGAGGAGGAGGAGGAGAAGGGAGGAGGAGGAGGCTGATGAGGAGGAGGATGAGGATGAGGAGGAGGATGCGGAGGAGGAGGAGGAGGAGGGGCAGGAAGCAGGCGAGATGTGAAGTGGGAGTGCGGGACGGGGGGATTAAACATCCTTGGCAATGCCGATCGTGTCTTGCCAGTCAGTCGGCATAGCAATGAACTTGCTTTCGTCATATGAGGCTATGCTTGCGATGCCAACCTACATGTTTCCAATAGCTGATTCAAGTTTGCATGCTTCTGGAAGTGTCAGCATGCAAGATGTGATCGATAAACGATCACCCCCTTCTTGTCCTTGTCCTCCTCCTCCGCCTCCTCCTCCTCCACCGCGTCCTCCGCCTCCTCCTCCTCCTTCTTGCCCTCCACCTCCTCTTCCTCAAAAACCTCATCGTCCTCCTCCTCCTGCTCCTTCTCTTCCGCCTCCATCTCCTATTCCTACTACTCCTCCCTCCCCTCCACCGTGTTCTCCTCATCCTTTCCCTCCTCCAGCAAAGACCCTCTCCTCCTCCCTCCCTCCTCCTCCGTCCTCTCCCCCTCCTCACTTCTCCCTCGTTGTCGTACTCCTCCTCGCCCTCGTACATGTCTTCGTCTTCGTCTTCGTCCTCGTCCTCGTCCTCGTCCTCGTCCTCGTCGTCCTCCTCCTCCTCCTCCTCCTCCTCCTCCTCCTCCTCCTCCTCCTCCTCCTCCTATCTCCTCCTCCCACTACTCCCCTTTCCGTGGACTCCCCAGGGCTGGCTTCTCGTCCCAGACCACTTCAGATGACCCCCGGGGCCCAGGAACGCCACCCGCCAGGGACCGAAAACTGCTGAAAAGCCTCAAGACGCTAATGGTCCGTCGGCTGTGCACACCAGGGGGTGGGGCCTCCTCCTCTTCCTCCTCTTCTTCCTCCCCCTCCTCCTCCTCCTCCTCCTCCTCCTCCTCCTCCTCCACTTCCTGGTGCTGCTCCTGCTGCTGCTGCTCCTGCTGCTGCTGCTGCTGCTGCTGCTCCTCCTCCTCCTCCTCCTCCTTCTCCTCCACCTCCTCCTATGGGGAAGTGCACACGTTCACGCATGCGTTACGCCGGGAAGTAATAAAAGAACAGTCACTAAGCTGACAAGGGGGTTTCTTAGACGCCCTCCTGTCTTCAACGGGGCCTCACTAGCAGCCCCCAGGCCCTTCCAGGAAGCGCCCCGCCTTCCCAGAACGCCACACCTCTCGCCCCCCCCTTCAGCAAACGTGCGCGCCGCCGACAAGTTCAAGGCTGCGTTCGGTCGCCCCCCGACACCGCAAGAGGTGTCCGCAACCCAGAGACGCTGGGTGCGGAGCCACGTGCGCCGTCGAGGCCGCCGTGCTGCGCCCAGTGCCGACTGGGCCGCGAAGCGGCGCGTCCTCCGACGACGCACGTCTTCTAGCGCCTTACCCAAAAAACGAGGCGTTGGAGGAAGAGGAAGAGGAGGAGGAGGAGGAGGAGGAGGAGGAGGAAGAAGAGAAGGTCCCTCAGGGCCGCCTCTGGGCCCCCAGGGGCCATCCCGGGATGAGAGACCAGCCCCAGGGGAAGAGCCCACGGAAGGGGCGGGGGCAGGGGGGAGGTTCAGTGGAAGGACGACGACGACGATGAAAGATGGAGGAGGGGGGGAGTGAGCGACGCCCGCCGCGAAATGAGTTCGGGATGAGCTGCGCCCCGTCGAGCCAACTCAGCCCGCCTTCGACCCTTCGGCCATCGGCCTGAACTAATCCGATTCAAAACGTCGGCCGGGGTGGGGTTCGTTCCCCTGTGGCATTTTTGCCCCAGGCTCTTTTGCACTTGAGTAGCAGAGTGTCCACTTGACAGCCCAACCAAAATTTTCGCCCAATATGCACTTGTGTCCGATGACTACTGTGCACCAACCCACCCCACAAGATGCAACTTCCCCCGAGTGGCAAGCGAAACATAACTCCGTCAACGTTACAAAAAGTAAAGCATGTGGAGGCCCGCCAAACAGTTTTTCCAACGAAGGTGGTTGAAGTATGGCAACGGCGGCCACATTCCGCAAAGATATGATGGACGTGAGCACTGACACTCCTGACAATGCAAGAGGAGGAAGAAACTGCTTAGTGCGGCCCCTGTCTCTCGAGACCGTCAACTCTTTCTCCAGCGTGTCGATTGTCGCTCGGAGAAGACACAATCGGACCTGGAACGCATCCATCTCGATCCTGCGGACTTCGCATATCTGATGTTTTGGGACCCTGAAACGTTCAACTGGAGCCCCTGAAAGAACATATGCCGCCAGGGTCTCTTGCACCATCCACCAGAGCACGGTGTTCAGGACCATGCCGGTGGCTTCAAGGTCGTTGTTGACGAATAACACCACGATTGAGGCTGGATCTCCCTGCTCGAGCTGCTTGCCAATTCTGTGCCGAAAGTCTGCATCTTGATCCTCTGGGCGTGAATCGATCCTCTCCGCCCAACCGTCTGCCATTGAATTGTCCGTCGCGAAAATAACATGACCATCTGTGCAGTCCAGCCCAAACAACAAGGCTCGGCAGTCTCCTCTGGGCACGCCTTATCTGGGGCTTGTAAAAGGTCCTGACACCGTCGCTTTGACTGAAGACTGCTGGAAGAGATTCGCCGACCTGTCGGCGTGTGCGAGGGGGTTGTTTGTTCGAATCGTCGTCTCCGTCAATCGTTGTGTGCGTCGCCCCCTTTCCTTGCGCCCTCCTCATGCCTGTCAGCGAGAGAGAAGCCTCGCAATGTCCCAATCGAATCGAAGGGAAGCCCCTTCCCGTTGATTCCTTCCCCGCGCCAGCGGGGGGGAGGGCCCCAGAGGGGGATCGCCACCCAAATGCGCTTTCCCCTCCCGCGGTCCCGGAACCCCCGCGCGGCCCCGGAAGCCCACAAAAGTCCACAGGAATTCTCCAGGAGACCCCCAAGAGGCCTCCAGACTTCCAAAACTCTTCCACTGGGTGCCCAAGGGGCCCCAGGAGGCCTCCAAAGATCCTCCCGAGAGGGCCCCAAGAGGCAAGAATCAGTGATTCCCCCAGCACATTCGGATTCAACCCGGAGTTCCCACAGGCGCAGGTTAGCGCAGATCGAGCAAGTCAGCGCGGGTCAGCGCAGGTCAAATG